AAAGAAGAGCGTATTCAAATCGTTTAACCCTCGCCCAGTCCTAAAAAATACGCAGAAAGTGCACGGGTTCAAAAGCTTTTCATCCACACAGGTCAACTGGTGATCATCAAAAGGAATGTTCCCCAGCTGAAAGGTAGCAGTTGACATGGTGCAGTCCAAAGAGGGGGACCCTGGTGGACCAAACATGAAGCGATTCACAGCAATTTGACCAAATCGACTGGATCTCGCCTCAAAGCCTCTTAAAGCTTATCACTGTCCACATAAAGCCCTTCTGGGTCCTATTGCGTGGTCCATGATGCTCCTGGTCAACCCCAGCGGTGCCGGTTCCAGGACGAATGGCTGGTGCGCCATCCTGGATGGCACACCTCTGGAAACAGGCCGCAGAATCCAGAGCAGATGAGGTATGGAATAGAACCCCCTTGCTTAGTACTCTTGGCTGCTGGTGCTAGACTAGAAGGATCTATATTTTATATAATACATATAATACATGGACACCCCGACCCCCATGATATAGATACATATATATTATATTATATATCTCACTATTCTATAATGCAGTTATTGGTTGTGAGAAGTGAGTTCCTGTTCATTGTCAAGCCCAAGATGCCGGCAGTCACAATTCTTAACTCGGCACCCAATGTTGAGGTCTCCCTAGCAATCTACAAGGAACATGGTCGATGTCATGTGTAGTAAAGGGGCTTATGGATCCATGGAGTTATGATCTATAATCTAGTCAGGAGTTCAGAAGAGTCGTTCAATATGTCAGCTGGCTGATGCTGAAAACTGATCCAGCACCTCAAACCCTGTCACTCATGGAGCTTTCACCATGTTTTCACCTTCTGACCTTCTATCGTCTATCCGTCAGTGTCATTCGTCCTCCCACCCTCTCGCACCGTGCGCCTTCTCCCACGGCGCGCGCGCGCGCGCGACCACGCGCGAGGCGTGTCGTACAACCTCTGTTTGGACCTGGACGGTGCGGGGCCCCTGGAGTCAGGCGCGGGAGTCGTGTTCGGTCGGTCGAGGTTCGCTTCAGAACACAAGGCAGGCCTACAGGACCAGAAGCTGGCTGCGGTTTTTCTCGGTTTTGGTGGTCTTATTGGGCTGGCTGGGCTGAGTAGGGTGAGTATTGGGCTTTTCTGCTTTTCTGTCGTTTTTTTTTTGTCTCTTCGGTCTTACCTTGTACAATTGCTTTTGCCAGAGGGTTTTTCGTTGCAGGCTTCGGGCTTTTCGATGGCGTGCTCCCCCTGAGGGTCGAACTGCTGTTGATCCGATGGTCCTGAGTTAGGAAACGAGGAGTCTTCACAGCATGATATGCTGAACTCAGAGATAAGATGATCACGGCTGGGTCCCTCAACTTCTCATGGAATATCCTTGCATAAGGATTCGATTCGCCATGGAATCCTTCTGGGGAAGCTCAAGCACTCTTCAGTTCGCTTCATTTTTGAGAAGCTTCGTCAGTTCAAGCACACGCTCCACCCAAAATGCTCCCTTCGAAGTAGCGAACAGCCGGTTTTTGTGTTGTCGCCCGGTCGAAACCGCACGAAGTCCCACTAAATAAGTATACTCTAGGGTTCATACATGGGTATTGACAGACCATTTTATGGTTCCATTGAGAGGAGGTTTGGACATGTTGATGTAGACTATTTTAGACTACAGTCGTTCAGGATAACCTTTGGTTGTGAATGATCTCGGAAGGCTGCAGCAGGCTTTAGTTTTGACCCTGCACGACTTATTCATGCACCTGCGCTTCCAAACTCAGCGCTGCAATGGCATCTCCTCGAGATGCCGACCCTGAACCAAAAGGGGTCTTCTGGAAGGTCCGCAAGCCCATCCCACCTTGATCCTTTTTGATCCTCCTTGATCCGCCTTGATGTGTGTTTCCGAGACGCTTCACAGCGCCGTGAGTGACGACCGGCACACCCAGTCACACCTAGTCAGTGTACGACAGATCACGCGCGGAGAGTGCGAACGAACGCACGCGCAGGCTCTGTCCAGGAAGTCTTTGCAGCACCGGACCAGATGCTTTCGAGTGGAGTGGAACCCTCTACAGTGAGCTTGGCGAATTTGAACATCACGACCGTCACTCCATGAAATCTAGAATGATTGTATAATAATAATGCCTATATATCGATTCCGGGTAGTTGGTTGGAGGGTCAATTGTATAGGTCGTTTATAGTCTCACTCTAGCAGGCGGTGCCGGAGTCACCTTCCAACAGTACCTTCCAGAGTTAAAATGCGTTTTGCCCCCATCAAGGACCTTCGAAAAAGGGGACCATTCATGACTACAAAGTGTCGCTTTGAAGGTCTGGTAACGGGATGAGTTTTGTTCCTTTCCTCCCTGATTCCTAATCATTTTCGGGAATCTATGAGGTACCTCAGGGCTGTTTTTTTTCTGATAGTTTCTAGCCCCGTTTGTTTTCTTCTCCCCAAACGTTGCGCCACATGGCGCCAGACCAACTGCACGCAGAAGCTGGAGCGAGACACCCACCGTTCAACGCGCCATCGATCCTCAGGTGACGCAGGGTGTGGACATCCAACGCCTCCGCATCGGCTGCGCCCTGCGATGCTCAGAGGTCACTCAGGCCACCGCGACGCGTTCCGTGCCCCGCGACGAGGAACGATGATCCGTCCCTCGTCACTGCGCTCGGAATGTGGGCCGACGATCGACGGCCGATCTGAGAGGAGGTCACTAGAGGCCTTCTTTTGGCTTTGAGGCAAAGAATCTGAAGCACTAAGCAGATTGAAACAGTTTATTGCATTGTTGTGTTTTTTCTCAGTTCTGTTAGGTTCCAGATTGACTTTGGAATCTGGAGGAGTTTCTGTGATGACCTCCAGGTCCACTTGTAGATGATGCCATCTTTCTGAGGGACTTAATCAAAACAGCAGCAGAACAAAGGTCAGGCAGATATGACGTTGCGTTTGTACTGGAGCTCTATCAATCTTCTATGTGTTCGATTAAGCTTCAGAAAAATGATGTATAATGTACGCTAGAATTGTGGAGAAATGAAAACACTTCGACACTTAACTTAGCATCTAATATTTATATAGGGTCCGATGGTTTTGATCTGTATAGCTCCCTTCTGAGCTGCAGCTCACAAGGCCGGCCCGGAACAAAACAAACACCGCCAATAAAACAGATGGACCTTCCTTTTTCAGGTCCATCCATTTTCGAGATCACCAAACCAGCAAAGACCTTCTGAATCTCAGAAGTGGCCAATTCTCTCAAAAACAGCCAAAATTCATTGGCTGAACACTCCATGTTGTGTGACACTTCAGTCAAAATCGACCTGGATCGGTCTGACCTGGATGAGTTCCAGCTACGAAGAGTAACACATATCCGCTCAAACATAGAATCGGAACGAACCGGAACACGTGAACCAAAAGCGTGCTCGGGATTGGTGCCAGTTTGAACCGTGGAATCCCTGGGAATTATGGGCACGAACCTGAGAACTTTAGTGGTTCCCACTCCAATTTGGATGCTCTTCCTGAGATGGACTGAGAAAAGGAATCTCCATATCTGACCAGAGTTGATGACAGATGATGAGAGTGGTTCCACTCCCTCAAAAATAATCCATGCATGCATATTTCATGCAGCATGCCGCCATTTTCTTGGCCTGACCCAGGAGTTCCAAGTTGATTCTTTTTGTCTTTAAGACTTTGTGAGACGCCTGACATGAGTCGAGGTCCTGGGCACCAAGAAACCGTCCCCTTGCCGACCCCTTTTCTTCTGCGCCCTTTTCTATTTTTCGGAGGCCTACTTGGCCACAAGCTGCGAGGAGGCGCTTTCGCGCACGGCCGTGGCGCGGTACCTGGAACGTTTAGCGAGCCGAGACGGCTCTGCTTGGCTCCTGCCGGTGAACGTGAGCAGTTTCGCGACCCGACAGCGGCATCGGGGCACCGGGAGCAAGGGTGGCGCGGGAACCGAGCGGTGGGAAGGAGTGTGCAGCTTTTTGGGGAAGTCTTTGAGGTGGTAAATGTGGTAAGTAGTATAGTCCGGATCCGGTTCGGTCCCCTCTGCAAGATGCCGTAAGGAATGTCCAGGTGTGTGCGTTCGAATGACAGGAAAGACATTATAACCACATGGTCCACTCATGGTAGTAGGCTGGTGAGATATGGTGAGTGACCCGGACACAACAAACACAAGACCAGCTGCGGTCGTCGGGGTCACCGACGTCTGAAGGGACAACAACCACGATTGGATTGGGTTTGATGCGCTAGGATGGGATTGGTGAACCTCCCTGATGAGCATGATGAGCTTTTGTTTTGTTCACTTCTTGGGGGTGTACAGGTGCTGTGGAGGGCCATGACAGTGCCTATAGGAAAGTGGGCGACACTACAAGATCTGCATCGACCTCGATGGCCCCTCGCCCGGCTTCCTGGCCGGCGACAGTGGACTGGAAGCTTCTTGGTGAGAAGATCATGACCGTTCCGAGGTCACATGACGTTAGTTCCAAATGACCTGAAAACAGGCTCTCCTACTGTAGACTTCCACAGCGTGAATGGTGGTCCAAGTGGCATCACTCGGTCGCAGAGGAACACACCGACCCGGGCATGCATGCCTTCAACGCACGACGCACGAGCAATGGACATCGACGGACCGTGTTTTGGGACGCGAAGGAACATGGGACACCCGAAGAAAATAGCGGGTCATACTACAGTCCTTACTGTAGGGATCCACAATACCTCTCTCTCTATATAAATCTACATAAAAGAGTGTCGAATCACTTTCTCAGAGGGTGTTTGGATCCATATGAGTACTCGAGTGAGTACTCGTACTCATTTTCTGAGGTAAGAAATGAGACTGCAGGTACCTGGCGTTGTTTATCAGGACATGTCCCATTGACGAATAGGCCATGATGACCATCTAGGCCATGTGGGGTAAGCTGTTGACTGACTAGAGACTTCTCCGCCATGCGTGTCGTCATGAACTTGGGTTACTCCTCCTTGAGATGGATCTCGCATGATCTATATTATATATTATATACCAGGACCCTCCAACAGGTCACCATCTGCGACTTTTAAGTCTACAAAAGCCTCCATTTCAGAGACCTGTTGGAGGGTGCTGGTATAGGAGATGATTCACAAATCTTTAGGACCCAGACAATTTGTGCACGGAATACTTGTGGTTGTAAGATGCATTGAGGGTCTTTCTGCTGGTAAATCTTTCAGTCTCATGGAATGTTTGGGGGATGAATTCTTCAACCACCTAGATTCAGAGAGGGCTTAATTCGGCTTAATCCTTCGACATCTTGCCACACTGAGTCCGACTGCAGAGACCAGCGAGTCCACGCGGAGTCCGGCCAAAAGTCTATAGTCAGAAAAATTAGAGATAAAGGAGTCAAGAAGACATTTGACCAGATCCTCCATCCTTCAAAGTATCCGACTATTTTCAATATCCATCTACCCTCCCTATAGAAAAATCATGGAAGTGAATGATGGCACAACCTGTTTGTAAACAGAACGGTCTTCCAAGGGGCCATGCCATCCACTTCCATGATGATTCCAAGGCGTGTACATCCGAAGGACCCTCCAACCTTCCATGTTTACGAACCAATTTTTACTGTTCCGTTTGAGCGAGTGAGTTGCGCTATGATCGGAATGTTGACGAACCTTTTGAATGACCAGGACATTGTAGATGTGTCTTTCCGACGTGCCTCGACGCCTTTGGCTCGGCCCATTCTGTAGGTCTACGTGAATGGTGTGGTGGCATTGGACCCCCTGGCTGTGAATCAAGCAGCCGCACAGAAGATCCGATTCAGCTGCCCAACCTGTGCTGCCACAGCCACGGTCTCGATGTATCTGGCGAGATCCACTTGTAACTTGGAGACAAGATAGACCAAGGACCTGGAGTCTTTTAAACTATACTGAAAATGAGACATGACGGAGGTGACCCCCACAGAAAAGCAGGTGCGAGTGACTCGCCATTTTCCAAGGTACTTCCAGGAGGGGAGTAGGAAACCAGCTGATATAGAAGTTCTTAATACCCCTTTCCAACCACCACACTTCCGGATTGCAGCTGAGGAAACCCTTGGAGTTTGAACATTTTGGTGATGATGATATACAGATTCTGGAGAAGAAAATCCCAGCTACCAAGTATCGATCTAAGCTCCGCTGTGTATACCACCAAACCTGGTGATGGCGAAGCTTTTGCACTCCAATTGGCCGATCGACGCGTGCCCATTTTGCCCGTTAGGCCATACAAAGTGGCACACGGTTAGTGGACATGACAGGACATCCACTGCTGTTTGGAGCGGACCCGATCGCAAGACAGAGACTGCTTTTGGTTGTTTGTAGGCACCACACATGCGAGCGATCTACCGCAGTTGCAGCTGGAGGGCCAGAGAAATCTGACTTTGACGCTGAATGCTCAGAGCCTGGAGGTTGGCATGAGCACTTTGGCCTGCAAGGTCTACCTGGAAACCCAATCATTTTTCTGGCTTTCTTGAGATCCTGACACATACCCAGACACTCCATGGAATTGTTTTAATAGTTAGTAACATAATCCCCTGCCGAATAAACCCTATTGGGAGGTCGAGCTCAAAATGACCCTCAGATTACTTGCACATGATTGTTCAATTTACTCAATTTATTTACTCCATTTATTTATATACTCTATTTCCTCCATTTACCATCAAAGTGTAACATATACGGCCTGTAAGTAACTATTCCAATATATTCCCAAACACTCGGACAGGGGAAACATCTCGTTCTCGCGTCGCGTCACCGACACGTTCGGCACTCCACGTTGGGGCCTTTTTGCTGCCGACAAAAATCCACGGAGACGAGTGTTGGACCGTGGCCGAAAGCAAGGAAACTCCAAATGAATACCGGATCCCAGTGAATTCCACTTAGTAAGGAACCAGGAGCCATCAGGGATCAGGGGAAGGAACCAGGAGCCGTCTTTGGAACCACTGCAGTACCTATTGACATCCGATGAATGAACTGGATCCACTTGGAAACGCCGCAAAGGTCTCGAAGTTGGTTTTGCCAGGTATTTTTCGGGTTCGGTCTCAGATCGAAACGGGAAGTCGACAGATTTGGCACGGGAAATCTGAATGACCAGCACCTGGAGATACCAGCGGGCCACCCCTGTCTCCTTGCAAAGGTCACCGAGGAGGGAGGTCTTTGTCAGGAACTGAAGGTCCTGGCAGTAACGCCTTTTTTTGTTGCCCTTGTTTGACCAGATGGTTGATGGGACAAAACTTGCTGTAAAGGATGTTATTCGATAATGATAATGATACCATAAAGCAAATCAATGTGGGATGTATAATTGTATGTATAATAGCCCATTGTGATTGATTGACACAATGGCAACACGACACCTACCAACTTGGCTTATGGATCTTTTGAACCCTTCCAGGCAGTGCTTCTCAGTGCTTCTTCGATGTCACGTCCAGGCTATCGACTCTGTGTTGACATGGACTCTGGAAAGGCTGGTGATGTGGGGGAGATCTATGTCTCTCCGATGCTTGACCACGGAGCCGAGATCGGGCGCGCGAAAGAAAACCACCACCAGCCAGGTTAGGTCGTCTACCGTGTGGGACAACGCGGTGAAGCAGCGTTTGCATCACCTCGAAGAAGAGGGAATGCACGGGGTCCGTGGGGGTTAACCCCTTTAGGAAGCCATCCTTGCATTGGTCAAAGGTCGGCCTTTTGAGAGTTTTTTTTTGGGTGGCACCTAAGAGTCTAAGAGCCTATCTATAGAGCAGTTCTAGATGATGCATCCACCAATGGGGATGCCAAATTTGGCATCTTAAAAGCGGAGATTTCTGGGAACTCCTCCAAGCAATTTAGCATGATTAATTATGCATTACCTGAACCCTGCAAAGTACAACAGAAAGTGAGACATTGTCATTTTGTCCCCATGTTTGGCCGGTCCGACCGGCAGATGGAAGCACCATTGATTTGCAACCTGTGGGCAGCCCTTAGACCTCCCATGAATCCAACTTGAGGCGACTTTGGTAGCAATCATGAATCCAACTGTTCCAAGGTGTCGTTTCAGTGGTTCCATGGTTCCAAGATCGAAATCCAGGATCCCGGCCGTTACTGGTGACTCCCACCCCAGTGGACAGGTGGTAGCAGGGATACCCAAATGATCCAGAGCTAGCATGGAATAAATATAAATGTGGTACGTTACCCTGACTTTCATTAGGGTCATAAATGGGGTAACATGTATATGTAACTACTCTACACATGGATGGTCAGCTGTAATACCTCCAACGCAGCCGTCACAATCGGCACCTGAGGATTGTGATGACGTCCTTCACCTTGGTCTGGGCGGCGGCGGCACGCGTGGTCTTTGAATGCACCTTCTGCCGAGTCGAGTCTTTGGTGCACCTCTCGGCAGATTGCCAGGACGGGAGTCGCGTGGAAACGTGGCAGTGATCGCGGCACCAGCTTTCGGTCCAGTTGAGTGGAAGAAATGGACACCCCGAATCACACCTTTTGAGGGCTATTCGATATTTAATCACGAAAGCTAGCTGCTAGCTGTAGCTAGCTGGAGTCTGTCTTGCTTTAGCAAGGAGGGTGGGAGCCCAGGACCTGAGTGCTATTACCTGATATATCAGGACTAGACCCCCCCCCCTCGCGGGGTTCAACTCCACCTCCTCCTCCTCGGTACCTGCTGCTGCTGCTTGGTCGCTGCTGCTGCCGCTGGCATCTCATCTGCGCCTGGCTCTTGGCTGCTTGCTGGTTGCTGCTGCTTGCTTGCTGCTTGCATGCTTGGTGCTGCTGGATGCTCTTGGCTGGTTGCTGCTGCTTGCTGCTTGCATGCTTGCTGCTGCTGGATGCTGGCTGCCTGCTGCTTGTTGTCTGCTCCGTTTTGCTGCTGTTGCTGTTTGGGGTTGTTGGCTGCTGTTGGTTCTGAAGAAAGCCTATTCGTTAGAACCGAGAGTAGTTGCATTCCCTCTGAGTCGTGAAACGATGCTAATTTCATTATCTCCTTAAGAAGGCATGTACCCACCCCACAACCCCCAAGAGTACAAATCAGAATGCACTATCCGCTATCCATGCAGATCAAAAGATGATACTTACTACACACATGAATGACAGAACCCAGTAAGATGTTTGAACGGGCTGTTTGCTTCACTCATGGTAGTCCGCGTTCCATGTTCGAGCGACAGGGAGCATGCACAAGCGTTGCGACGGAGTCTTCGGTCGCTGTCGCTGACACATGTTCGCATGCAACCCCTAGATGTCAATCATGCACACCGCTGCTGGTGGCATCGTCAGCATTTATTCGTGTAAAAGACATATATATCAGATATATCTGTCTTTCCACGTCGGCCTTCTACAATTACTGTGCACGAAAGACTCTAAGGAAAGCTCATTCTTTCCCTGCTGCTGCTGCTGCTGCTGCTCCTGCTTGGTAGCTGGTGCTGCTGCTTGGTAGCTGCTGCTGCTGCTGCTTGGTAGCTGCTGCTTAGTACCTGCTGCTTGGTAGCTGCTGCTGCTGCTTGGTAGCTGGCGCGGTAGCTGCTGCTGCTGCTTGGTAGCTGGTCCTGCTGCTGATTGGTAGCTGCTGCTACTGCTGGTGCTGCTGCTTGGTAGCTGCTGCTGATGCTGCTGCTGCTTGGTGGCTGCTGCTGATGCTGCTGCTTGGTAGCTGCTGCTGATGCTGCTGCTTGGTAGCTGCTTGTGCTGCTGCTACTGCTGCTGCTGCTGCTGCTTGATAGCTGATGCTGCTGTTGCTTGGTAGCTGCTGCTGCTGCTGCTTGGTAGCTGCTGCTGCTGTTGCTTGGTAGCTGTTGCTGCTACTGCTTGGTAGCTGCTGCTGCTGCTTAGCAGCTGCTGCTGCTGCTGCTGCT